CTGGGAGGGGGAGGTTGCCATGAACCGAGATAGCGCCACTGCACTCCAGCTTGGTAACACAGCAAGACTCTGTCTCAAAAAAAAAAAAAAAAAAAAACTTTTTAAAAAAAAAAAAAAAAAAAAAAAAATTAACACTCATATGAATGTTTATCGTACACAGATGGAATTATTCTACACACATACTTCCATGGACAGTTTTTACTACACAATATTTTGTAGCTTTGTTTCTATGGCACAGTTATTGGTCAACTTTATGTTTCTTAATTGCTACATAACACAGTTTGTTAAACCAGTGCCCTATTGGTAGACATTTAAATTGTTTGATTTTTTTTTCATTAACCAAGAGTGCTTCAATTAAAATCTTTTACACATATTGTCCACATTTGCAAGTGAAATTAGTATGTCTAAGGAAATGCCTATTAAAAACGGTGATCATTACCCTCCAAAAACAACTGTACCAGTTTATACTTAAAACACCATTATGAGGGTCCTCTTCCACTGACATCCATCTTTATCATTTTCACCAATCTTTTTTTCCTTTGTTTGTTTCTTTTTTTTCTTTGTACCAATCTTGCTTTACTTATATTTTCTTGAATATAGAGGATTAATATTTTTTAGATATTATAATGATCATTTCTTTTTCTTATTCATATACTCTGCCCAAGTCGCCTTTTTCATATATATCCAAATATCTGTCTCAAGTTTATCGTCTCTTTTCTACATTATGGTCTTTTACCATTATGTAAATTTATAAAATGTTTCCCATTACAGATTCTGGCTTAGAAAGATCTCCCCTATGATAAGATCATAAAGATGCTTTCCTATAGTGTCCTGTGGTTTTATGTTTCATATTTAAATCCTGAAACCTCAAATTAATCAGGGAAAGGATATAAGGGTAGCAAGAAAATTAAGGTTTTCCAAATTAATTATTACTTACACTAATACCATTTATTACCTAATTTCTTATTCTTCCCACTGATTTGACATTTTTCCTTTGGCACATGATAGATTTCCATAAATATTTTACATTAGCACCTGCTCTATATTAGTAGTTCTAGGACACTTCCTATCCCATTGCTTTTTTCTACCTTACTTTCATTTTAAAAACTTCTTTAGCTCCTCTTGAGAATTTCTGCTTACAGAGGAATTTTTGAATGAATTGCAATAAATGTAGGAAGTAATTTGGGAGAAAACGGACATTTGTACCATATTGGGTCTTCCTATCCAAGAATAAGATGTGGCTCTTTTTATTCAGGCTTTATCTGTCCTTTTATAAAGTTTTATTAAAGTATTACATATTCCTTATTAAATTTGTTAAGTGCTTTTGAATTTTGTTACTATGAATAGAATATTTTGCTATGTATAGAAAACCAGTTGGTTTTTTGCCTATACGTTTTAGCTTTATATTTAGAATATATTTATGAAAGTACTATTTGTGTTTGATTTTTAAAAATTGAGGGCTTCTAGAAAAGCAGGTGTCCTCCTGCCCAGTCTCACTCTCCATGACAACAGTTGTTAATATTTCTCATAATTTTCCAAATGATTTTCCTAAAATGTTCTAGGTATATAATTAATCTATCTGCAAATGTTAGTATTTTGGCAATTCTTCCATGATTTATTCTTATTTCTTTTCCTCATCTATTACCTTGCTCTTCCAGATGTTTGAGCAATATTGTCAGTAGGCCTCCTGGCTTATTCCCGGCCTTAGAGGAAAATCATTAGTACTTCGCCATTAACTATGATGATCACTGATAGCTTTTAACGAATACTTGTCATCGAGTTAACATTTCTATTCCTAATAAAAGTTTTTTCTTCGCTTTTTGTTTTTGAGACAGTCTCACTGCGTTGTCCAGGCTAGAGTGCAGTAGCACAATCTCAGCTCACTGGAACCTCTGCGTCCCTGGTTTAAGTGACTCACCTGCCTCCCAAGGAACTGGGACTACAGGTGCCCGCCACCATACCTGGCTAATTTTTGTATTGTTGGCCAGGGCTGGTCTCAAACTCCTGGCCTCAAGTGATCTGATTTGCCCGCCTTGGTCTCCCAAAGTGCTGGGATTACAGGCGTGAGGCACCACACCCACGCTTTTCTTTTCCTTTTAATCAGTACTAAATTTGGGATTTTATCAGTATCTATTTGGACCTTTTCTTTTCTTTTTTTTTTTTTTTTGAGACAGGGGCTCACTCTCTCACCTAGGCCTAGAGTATAGGAGTAGTGCCAACTAATGCAGCCCCCAACTCCTGGGCTCCAGTGATCCTCCTTGCCTCAGCCTTTCAAGAAGGTGGACTTATAGGCATATACCAACATGCGCAGCTAATTTTCTTATTATTATTTTGTACAGACAGGTTCTCATTATGTTGTCCAGGCCGGTCTCAAACTCTTGGGCTCAGGCAGTGGTCCCACCTTAGCTTCCCAAACGCCGGGATTATATACATAAGCCACTGTGCCTGGGCATTTGACCTATTAGGGCATTTTGATTTGTTTCCCCCTAATTATATTTCTAGTTTTAAATCAGTCCTATTTGATCTCTGTATATTATTGTTTTAGTATACTACTGAGTTGTATTTGCTAATACTTTACTTAGGATTCTTCGACCTATAATACAAGCGAGATCAAGCTGTATTTTCTTTTCCTTGGTATCTTTGTCAGGTTTTATAACTGGGGTTATTTTACCCTTTTGTAATATGCACATTTTTCGTTAAATAACTTCAAAAGTTATTTAAGATGGGTCTTTTTTCCTTTTTAAAGGAAAACTAAGCTTAACAATTACAAATCCAAAAAGTATACAAGTAGTTCTTGCCAAGTGGACTCAAAGCATGTGAAGACTTACTAGGTAATCACAAGTCTCCATCTCCAGTAAATAGAGAAAGATGTATGACATTCTGGATGTCCAAGAGAGAGATGTGCCCTTAACTGATAAGAGTGGTCAACAAAAACACAATGAGAAGGTACCAGACCCTGTCATCGACTTTTTAAAGCCAGCAGTAAGCTCTCTTAAATAAAAATCAAGCCTCAGGATTCAAAGTAAAGCCAACTGAGAATACAGGAAACATCTTTCTGGCCAAACCCTAAACCACTTTGGATGGTTTGGGCTCCCTGAAGCTAATACCAATCACGTCAGATTTCAAGGATTCGGTGTAAAGAAAAATACTCCCTGGGATGCAAGGCAGATGCCACATGCCACTTTTCTTGTTTGGGGAACAATCAGCCATCTATACTGTGTCATGCACTTTCCTCCTGGATGAGCTCAGGAAGTGAGACTCTGCTTGGTATTCAAGTATTCTGGGGTAAGTAGTAACTAAAATGTTATGAAAGTCAGTAAGAACCACATATATAACCAACTCAGAATGACGGAAACAAGGAAGGAAATGAAGGAAACAGGAAGGAAAGAAGGAAGCCTAAACAAACTAGTGTCTCTGAGTCTTCTAGCCAAAGGTCATCTAGATTTACTGAGTTTTGTTAAACATCAGAAAGTACTGTTCAGTGTAATCCCAGCACTTTGAGAGGCCAAGGTGGGCAGATCACACGGTCAAGAGATGGAGACCGTGGTGAAACCCTGTCTCTACTAAAAAATACAAAAATTAGCTGGGTGTGGTGGCGCATGCCTGTGGTCCCAGCTACTCGGGAGGCTGAGGCAGAATTGCTTGAACCCAGGAGGCAGAGGCTACAGTGAGCTGAGATCATGCCACTGCACTCCAGCCTGGTGCCTGGCGACAAAACAAGACTCTGTCTCAAAAAAAAAAAAGAAAGTACTGTTCAGGCCAGATGCAATGGCTCACACCTGTAAACCCAGCACTTTAAGAGGCCAAAGGGGGCAGATCCCTTAAGGTCAGGAGTTTGAGACCATCCTGGCCAACATGGCAAAACCCCATCTCTACTAAAAATATAAAAATTAGCCAGGTGTGGTGGCATGTGCCTGTAGTCCCAGCTACTCGGCAGGCTGAGGCAGGAGAACTGCTTGAACCTGGGAGACAGAGGTTGCAGTGAGTTAAGATTGCATCACCCTCCAGCCTGGGCAACAGGGCAAAACTCCGTCTCAAAAAAAATTTTTTAAGTATTGTTTAGATATATACCCATGTATTTATAGTAAGCATAGTTTTTAAACTAATGTCATAATTACAGTTCTTACTGAAGAGTTTATAAAATGATAGGTTTAAGACTAATTCCTTTAATTTTCACTGACTTCCACTGTAAATAATCAGATATTTGTTTCATGATTAAGTTAGCATGTACTCACATGCCCTAGATATAAAGAGAAAATGTTGTGACATTTGACAATATCAAGCATACTGTGATATTTTCTTAATCTCAAATAGGCCAAAAACAGTTTTGGAGAAACATACTATAGCCATATATTTTGCAGAGAAATGGAGTGAACGGGGCTTTCTTAAATTTCTTCTACATTCTTATTCAAGGAGACAATCAACACTGGTTGTGTAGGTAAGGAACAAACTGACAGCATAGCAAAATGTTTCACACGCAGTGCTGCTCCAGGTCCTTACTGGAGTATAGTCTAGTCATCCCATGCATTGTCTGACAGATTTCTAGAAACTACCTGAGAACAGTACTACAAGCATCTGAGACCTCTGCTGCTTCTAACAAGCCAAATGCCTCACATTACACACAACACCAGTGACACAGAGAAGCCTAGCCCTTCTCCAACAGAAAGTTGGATTCTCCCAGGATAATATGATTCTAGAGTAGTGCTGTCTAATAAAGGAGTGCCATACTAGCCACATGTGGTTTCTGGGCACATGTGGTTCAAGTGTGATTAAGCAACAGAATTTTAATTTAAACTTTAATAGCTACATGACTCGTGGTTATCATATTGGACAGTGCAGTTTTTTTGGGGGGGTAGAGAAAAGACATTCAGGTTTCACTTTTCTTAAGTTACAACACAGATTCATTAAAGATATTAACCACAAAGCACATATAGATGAAGTTTATCAATCTATTCCACTATTTGAAGAAAAAAAAATTTAGAACATTCAAATATCTTTACCTCGTAATGAACAAACTGGTCCATTTTCTTGATTCTTAGAGCGTTTACTTCTGAACTGACTTGGAATATCTAATGAAAGGTCTTAAAAGGAGATAGGTAAACACTGTTAAAGGCATATATCTACTCAAAAATAATTTCATAAACATGCATTTCTATATTTCTCTTTACACTTTTTGAAGGAAACATTAATATTATTATTTTAATAAAATATTATATATCCACATGCCACATATGTCTTACCTAGGAATGGATCAAACTTTCTAGATTCTGTCCCACATATGAGGCAGTTAACCTCATTTTGGAGAATGCCTCCGAATATAGCCGTGACAACAGTAGATGCTCCATTTCTAAACAAAAGCACCACATAGGAGAATATCTCAGTAAGAAGCCATCTCTTTGACATTTAAAAAACTGAAATATTTATTAAAGCCCCTACAGACTGCTCCCTTTGAAGCAATATTTAAATCACTTATTTCTAAGTTTAAAAATAATAAAATTTCAAAATATAGACACATACTAAATAAAGGGTTTAAGCCACTGGCCTCCTCCACTGCTGGCATCCAATCCCACTACTCTCCCCAAGAGCAACTAACACTGGCCATTTGCTATCGTAACACAGATCACATGCGTGACTCCGCACAGGGCAACATGACACCTTCCATTCTCTCCCCAAGATAGGTCCCAAAGGGAAGGAACTACCTTGTACTGGAACCTTTGCAAGACCCCTCATATTACAGGGAACTCTCACAATTAACTGACTTTAAACATCCTTGGTCTGAGTTTTTAGACAGCCATCTCTCAGATTTAGGGAAAAAGAAGTAAAGGAATTTAATACCAATTTGGTAATTACTGCTGGATGTAGAACTTCACAATTCAAAGTGCTGGATGTTACTGTCAAAAACACTTTTTAAAAAGCTGAATACTGCAAATAATTTCCTTATGGAGATGAAAGATACACTGTTTTAAGAACAAACTAAAAACACCTCTTGCTGTAATGTTACCTAAACTTTTTCTGCCTCTGCTCCATCAAATATAAAACAGGAATACAGGAAGAGTACCCACCGCAGAGGCCCAGTGTGAAGATGAAGGTTATGTATGTGAAGTGCTTTTAGAAGAGCACTTACCAAAAATAAAGCATTTGAAATGTCTGCCACTATGAAGTCAGATTACACCTCCTTCTTGCTTTTATGTTTTTCCCTAAGTGTATACCTTAAACAGGTACCTCATTCTTCTTGACAGCTGCGTGGCATGTCACAGTATGGACATACAGTGGAAGCAAGAACCAGTGACAGCAGGAGTGGCAAGCACTGATATAACAGCACTTACTACACACAGGCTCCATTCCAAGCACATTCTTTCCACCTGTTCAGTCAGTTAATCCTCACAACACATCTATAAGGTAGGTACTGTACGCCCCAAGTTGTAGATGAGGACACTGAGGTTAAGTTGGCCCAAGGTCATACAGCTGGTCTGGTTTGAATATCTGCTCCAACATAGCTCCTTCTCTTAATTTAACTAATGTAGTATTAGTGGCTATTGAGGTAGTTTCAATTATTTGCTGTCATTAATAGTATTACATGAACACTTGTCTATCAGCCCTCGTGCACTTATGAAGTCACTTGAGCCAATACATGCTATTTTTTGCTAATAGCAATATAAGGTGGTTTCTGTCACTTCAATTACTCCTAAAACACTGAACTGTATTTTCTCCACCACTCTAAGTTAGACCTACTGCAATGGTGAAGCAGGCAAAACCTACTCAAGCAATTCTATTTGAAACTTTTGATTCCTTTTTTGCCAAAAACAATAGGCTATAACTTTATTATTATTTTTAAAGTAGTAAGTAATAAAGTATTGTTTGTAAGACATACTGGCTTAAGAAAAAATTTTTTTTAAGTATCATTGGGGAAGAAGCATTGGGAGTTGTAGGACCTAGCAGCCATTTCAGGTTTAGGTTTATTATCTGTGTCACTACATGGCAAGAAAAAAAAAAAAACCTGCTGAAAATGAAGGGACTGTAACTGACCCTTTCATGCTGATGTTCACATACAAGGTTGCCTTTCATTAAAATGGTAACTGGTTCATTAAGAAGTACATTTAGACTCAATGTAGTTCTTTCTTATAATCACTTCCTCCGAGAAATGAATACTTAGCAAGTTTTTAGCTGCCTGACATGTTTGAAATTAAGCTTCATCTATACCATGACTTAATATTCAAAATCAGTTTCATTTATCATAACCACAACTGTTTAAATACTGAATACTTGGACAGGCTCTTATGATGCTAGGGTCCTTTAATGGGCACCAATGATTGTCGATGTACTAAAAAAAACATATCTGCCACTTATTTCTTCCATACACCTCCCTCGCCTTCACCTTTAGTAGGAGTAGGTGTGCGTGTGCACAAGTCAACAAAGACACAGTGCAAGAGACCTTTTTCTAGTTGTAGCAACGATTCTTAGATCCTGAAATGCCTTCTCCAACGTAGTGAAGGAAATAGAAGGAAATCTGAACTTTTAATATTTGATAATAAATGTTTGGTTTCTGTCCCTAACTCAGTAATGAAGCTTGCAATTCCTAATCTTTAAAGTTTCATGAAAAGGGATAGCTTAATACTGAAAATTCATGAGGCACTAAAAGAACATTCTGTGAGTATTACACAGTGTGATTCCACGAGTACCCCAGGCATCATGTAAAATCATAAAGACATACACCCTCTCTCACCTCACACAGCCTATCCATGATAGAGCCCAGTTCAATATCCTTTGTGGATGAATGTGCCATGATAAAACACAAAACAGATTTTTTCATTTAATGCTTTTCCATTTGGTGCTACCAGAAAGAACAATTCTCCCAGGTCACAGGTCTTTCCTTTTCTATATTGGATTCTAATTGGAATCACAGCTACTAGGACCTAGAGGGAAAACATTTTGCGAATTATGGCAATTAACACTGGCTGCCCTTTTCTAACACTGCTTGCTTAGCTATAAGCCTGCTTTGCCATTAAAAAGTAGTAGTCCTACTACGTCCGATTCATGGACTGCCAGGCAATACTACCAATATGTTACTTTACTCTTTCTTTTTGGGGGGAGTTTGTCTTCCTGTAAATCGCTTTCCCATGTAGCTCAATACTGACAAAACTTTTCAAAAATCTGAACAAAAAAAGCTACGGTTGACCAAAATCCAGGCTGAAATAACAGTAAATCTTCCCTTCTTCAAGCAAAATAAATGTTGTGATCTCAGTGTATATTCTGGGGCTACTATACATGGGAAAGCAATCCAAAAGCTTTGTTTTGTTCACATTGAAAGGCAAGAAAAACTTCTGAGAACTTATAAATGCCTCAATTTCATTAAAGAACAGATAAACTTTAGGAAAATTCAAGTCCATAATGAAGCTTTGGGAAAGTTCACATTCAAAATGTCTTAAGCTCTTGTTTTTAGTGAACAAATATTATTTTGATATATGAACATTTGGAAGAAATCTTTTAAATGCTAAATGGTACAAATATTTTCTACATTTTTTCAAGATTTAAAATAATCTATACCAAATAATCACAGTCAGAACCAAATCCAGATGCAAATACAAGATGCCTCTGGTCTGTAAGCAAGAGGTATGTGCTAGTTCACTTGGTCACAAAGTTTAAATGCAAGAAAGTTCCAGCAATGTCCAAGAAACCCCTCCACCTTCCATTATAAATCTAACACATAGTTAACACCTACAGAAATGTCTCAGGCACTCGTAAAAAACAGAAGGAAACTAAATCTTACATGCAACACTTGTTACTTGCAGACAGAGTAGAATTCTCCTGCAGAATTGCGGAGCGGGAAACGCCATTGAAGCCGCCCTGGAGTTCCAAGTGTAGATGGTCCAAAAGGTAGCGCATGAATTCATGGGCATCCTGCTGCTGATAGCCCCTAAAGCAAACAGAAACAGTCATTTGTAAGGGTCAGGGGAAGGCTGTGTACGGAGCCACACCAGCAAGAGGCCAAGGCGTGGGAAAGGATGGCAGCCCTGTGCTCACTAGCACAGCCAGGATTCCTCTCCTTCACGCCCACAAACTCCACAAATGACAGAATTTCTCTCTTCAATAATGAATTCTACTGCTTAAAGGTAGGTATGAAAACCAAAAAATAATAGAGCTAATTGGACTTGCAATGACCTCTTCACTTCAGAGGTGAGGAAACGGGGGGCTGATAAGTGACTTGCCCAAAGTCCTACAGCAAGGGAGTAACAGAGATGGGACACCTGTGTTTCCTGGTGGACTCTGGCTCTTCTTCCTGCGTATATAACCTCTCGAGAAGATGCTCCAATGTCATAGTTCACCTCTTACCCTCACCAGAAAACCAGATGTGAACCACTACTATAAGGAAGAAGGAATTTAAAATTATTAATAACTCCTTAGATTGAAAGATACTAATTTTTAAACACTGGCTGAAAGGAAGAAAGCTTTACCAAAAGAGTTAAAGCTGTCTAAACTTCTCTACCTGCATCCTAGTCTCTGACTTAAGACATCTTTTAAATAAATACTTTTTTAAAATGCATTGGCTCATATACAGTTATGCTCTATCCTAAAATTTGAGTTTATGTAACAACATATTCTTAGGATACTTCTTACAGTATAGTCAGACAGGAAACTCCCTGAAATTCTTATACAGATTAATGACAGTGAACAGGAATGAAGGCAGACAAAATGACACTGGTACAGGTAGAAGGTCTGGGAAGTTACTTGGATAAAATAAAGCAATATTATATAAAGTATTCCTATAAAACTATAATAAAAAAGACTTCTGTCTATATTTTGCCAGCATGGAAGGTTCTCTTGAATTAATCTAAATCATTCAGTTTTTCTGGTCTGGTCTTAGATTCAAAACTTCCATTACTCTTCCGGGCAATGGTTCCTTAAACAAAACTTCTTCCAACCAGAGTTTCTGTCAATATATATTTTCCGCTTTTCTTATAAATTATGAAAACAATCTCCCTAATCAATGGAACTTTGGAACTTAAAGTCAGAAGTTACTTCAGCATTTTACTATAGCTTTTTCTAAACTATCTGGCAACTAAATACCAATATATAAGTTCAAGTATTTCTTCTAAGGCTCACGAATAAAAATGTTAAAATTCAGGCAAAAGCATTCAAAGTTGATAGTTCCTTTATATATCTAAGGAGGTGTCTTAAACTTATTCATAAAATATCCATTGTTTTCATTACTCAAAGGTAAGATTAGTTATTTAGGTTATAATATCTGAAATTCTGTCACTTAGAAAAAACTTCATTCTCTCCCCAAAATAACCTAATATCTAAGTCATCATTTTCCTAAAATGTGTCATGAAAACCAGCACCTTACAGCTATACCAATTTGCATTTTCATCAAGTGAATACAAATCCATCCAATTTTAAAAAACAATGTGCCTCATGTACATTAAGGTATGTGTCTAACCATACCATGATTCTCTTACATCAAAATACATTATTTTCTAGCGTTTCCTCTGCCATTACAAACACATTTTCTTTAAACTACATGAGATCACAGAACACTCAGCTATTCTATAAAGGTTAAGTTATGAGTCCATTTCAACTTGTGAAATTTACCAGAGAACAGACCGTGCTGCCTCAAAGACTGGAACTTTTTCTAATTCTGACTAAAGAGACATCTGCAATTCTCTTTTTAAACATTTAAATGTATCATTTCATTGACTTACCTGAAAGCCTTACTAAATAAATATTTAATATGTTAAATTCAACAAACTTCAATTACCAATCATTTCCCAATTGTACAATCTGGGCTTCAGAATTTACTTTGTAGTCAACTTCAGGTTCTTTTGTTTTATACTCATGTTAAAAAACACTCTTCATATTTGGGTGCTGCGTTTATATTTTGTATACATATTTCAGCAATGTCAAACAGCTGTTTGAGAATTAGTGAGGGAACGGATTTATGAAGAACCAACTAGTGTCCCTGTGACAGACTAGAAGTACAGGAGAAAAAAAAAAGCAAGCAAATAACTGTGGCTCCAATTTTAACGCTGTTCCTTCTCTCATTTGTCACCTCAGATAAAGATTACCCCTTTCTCCTAAACGTGTCAGGAGGATGCTGTGAGCAATCACTGAGGGAGAGCACGCTGCAAACACAGAAAGCCTAGAAGGTCTTGAACCATCCATTCCGAACACCACTGAAGCACAGTGTACAGCAACACATGGCAACTGTCTTTTCACAAGGTTTTGGCACAATAAATACAAACAAATTTCCATAAATCTTAAATATGCCAATAAGAAATGATCAAATAAAATGTTACTTTGCGGGCCGGGCGCGGTGGCTCACGCCTGTGATCCCAGCACTTTGGGAGACCGAGGCAGGTAGATCACGAGGTCAAGAGATCGAGACCATCCTGGTCAACATGGTGAAACCCCGTCCTACAAAACATTAGCTGGGCATGGTGGCGCGTGCCTGTAATCCCAGCTACTCAGGAGGCTGAGGCAGGAGAATTGCCTGAACCCAGGAGGCGGAGGTTTCGGTGAGCCGAGATCACGCCATTGCACTCCAGCCTGGGTAACAAGAGTGAAACTCCGTCTCAAAAAAAAAAAAAAAAAAAAAAAAAAAAAGTTACTTTGCGCCTGCTTGAGTGTGAAAAGAAAGCAGATGTTCCAAATAATGAAATTAACATCCCAGAATACAGAGACATACAAGAACTCTTGTGATGCCGCCACACGCTTAACTGTGACATGCCTGTGGATTACTATTTCTGTGTTTTGGCAGTGCCAGTATATAATCTGTATGTATTGTATGCAGAAAGAGATCTACACATGTATAATTTAAAATACCTAAGATACATTAGAATTTTAGGTTCTGCTCATATTTAAAATATCCTTGACATTGATAAAAGAATTCTAAAGTCGTTTTGGCGAAAATATCTGCAAAACCAAAATAAGTTAAATTTATTCCTACTCAGTATTTGGCAACAATCATAACTGAGTTTCCTCAAAACAGAAACACCAGAAAACAAAAATCACAAAAATGAAATTTGTGTTTATAAGCACACAAATACAACAGTAAAAATTCTTGGCTACATGAAAATGGTTGTTTAAATATAAAATATCAATAGCACAGTATTTTAAAATCTTATAATAAATATCCCAAAAAGACTACTGTTAAATTAAACTTAAAGCATCATACACGGCCAGGCGAGGCAGCTCATGCCTGTAATCCCAGCACTTTGGGAGGCTGAGGCGGGCAGATCATGAGGTCAGGAGCTTGACATAGTGAAACCCCTGGCCAACATAGTGAAACCCCATCTCTACTAAAAATACAAAAAAATTAGCCAGGCATGGTGATGCACGCCTGAAGTCCCAGTTGCTTGGAAGGCTGAGGCGGGAGAACTGCTTGAACCCAGGAGGCAGAGGGTTGCAGTGAGGCAAGATCATGCCACTGCACTCCAGCCTGGTGACAGAGTGAGACTCCGTCTCAAAAAAAAAAAAAAAAAAAAGAAAAAGAGGAAAAAACCCATCACACACAAAGATCTATTTGTTGTCTACAAAAATCCTGTATCTTGTCTATAAACCTGAGAAGAGCTAGCAAATACAAGAATTATGTTTCAATAATTTATTTACCCATCATTTTAAAACATGAATTATCACAAGAACTGATTTTAAAAAAATAAAGTTCCATCTTGGGAAGTCAAGACAAATATATTAAATCAGGTTGTACAGAAAAACCTGATTTGAATCATCAAGATACTTTCCCGAAGAGTGTTAGCTTTAACCAGGATCCTAAAGAAAGAAATAGGGACCACTAGGCAAATCCTGTGGGCAGAAGCACCTGACATACATAGACAGCAAAGCAACAAGACAGAGTGTTAAGAAAAGCAAGGAGTGACAAAGGCTAGCAGAAAAGACTATCACAATTACAGAAGCACATATCCTTGAGCCCAGCAATTCCTCTCTTAGATACCTGCGCATACATGTAAACGACTACCCACTGCGGCACTGTTTAGAACAGCAAAGGCTAGAAACAGTCCATAAAGCCGCTGGGAGGAGACTTGGACACAAATTATGATACAACAATAAAAAGATGTGAGAAAGCCATTGTATACTAATCACCTTGTTTAAGGTACGTGGGCAAATCACTTGTCAACACATCTATTAACCAACTACTCAAACACCTGGACTCTAATTTCGATCATTACCCCTTCTAGATGTATAAGCTTAAACAAGTTGCTTCTCCTCTCTGTCTCAGTTTTGTCTCCTCTAAAATGGGGGTAACATTTCCTACCCTGGCTGGAATTTTGTTGTTGCTTGTTTTTTAATGAAAACCAGATGTAAAATACCCAGTGTTTAGCACACAGTAAGCATTCAATAAATGGAAACTATTATTATATAATAAAACACAAAGACTAAATCTCTATCAAGCGTCTAACTAGGTGATGATGTTAGATATTTTTTTTAATTAGGTCTAGACCTGACTAGTGGTAACTTAACTGTCATCCCTACCTTTCCGACTTAGCCAAGACATTCTCAAATTCTTACATCTTTCCTGAGAGGAGATTTAAATACTGTGATACATAAAAGGAGATTTAAATAGTGTGATATATAAAAGAAGTTTCTTTTTTTTGTTGTTTTTTTTGAGACGGAGTCTCACTCTGTCACCAGGCTGGAGTGCAGTGGCATGATCTCAGCTCACTACAACCTCCATCTCTCGGGTTCTAGCAATTCTCCTGCCTCAGCCTCTCATGTAGCTGGGATTACAGGCACATGCCACCACGCCCAGCTAACTTTTGTATTTTTTTAATAGAGACAGAGTTTCACCATGTTGGCCAGGATGGTCTCGATCTCGACCTCATGATCCACCCACCTCAGCCTCCCAAAGTGCTGGGATTACAGGCGTGAGCCACTGTACCCGGCCAGAAGTTTCTCTCAAAACAAAGACTAGGGTTAACACAAGTTACTCATGTCATATCCTCAAGGCTACACTTTTTAGCAAGGCAACAATTTAAAGTCCTTTGAAGTTAATTACCTTTTTAATATTTCTCTATATTAACAATATATCTTTTTAGGCCACAGGACAACGGAGATCACTAAGTTTAATACAGTATGATGTTTTTTTTTAAAAAAGGAGATGGGATGTACATTAGGCACCAAATCTTAACCAGTAAGAACCATGACTTGCTTCAGAAGGGTAAAATCGGCAGAAGGTAGCCAAGGCTGCTGTCAAACACCTGCAGTGCACCAAAGCTGCTATCACCTGAATCCCTACAGGGATGTCAGACCTACGAGAAGCGGCAGGACTCCTCTGACAGCAGAAGGTGTTTTTTGCTCAAGCAAGGTGAGACAGAAAGCACAGGCACCACAGTAGCTCTCTGGCCATACCAGGGTGTGGCACGGCTGCCTTCTGGAGAAGGCGTCCCAGACCCTTGACGACAGCCTTTCCAGAGCTTCCAAAGTCAGCTCCGAAAAGCTCATATAATACCATGAACTTCTACCAATCATATTAATTTTTTTAGCTGGAATAACAAGACAGTGTGTGATGGTAATGAAAGTTGTGAAAAAATTAAGGAAAGTTTGTCCAGTATGTTTTCCTACTGTGCATAAGTTATGTATAAGGGCTTTATGTTGGTTACAACAAAATACCCTACCTCTTGTTAAAGACATTTCTATTGTCTATTATTTAAACACATTTGTTTAGTCAGATGTATTCAATTTCTGCTCTTCTTCTTAAAAAGAAAAAACACTGGACTCTGGGCTAAATGCAGTCTGGCTGCCCTGCCAAACCAGTCTGAAGTATTTAGAATACTTAGAATACAACCACTTCATTAGAAATTATTTCATAATCAGTATAAAGACTAATACATATGCTTTAAAATATCTTTCTTTAAATAATACTTACCTAAAGTTTGGCATAATCTTCCAAACAACATAAAATAAGGACTCTGGGCTAAATGCAGTCTGGCTGCCTTGCCATAAAGCACAGAGTGTCTTTCTAAACTCTTCTACCAAAGACCTGGAAAAGAGGAATGGACAATGGCCTCAGAATTAGTGAGAGGCTACTATTTCAACACAGCGTCCGCTCAGCTAAAATGCATAATACATACAAAATGAACACTTAAAGGATTTGGTCTCTGAAGAAAGTCTGACCGATAAGTAAGAGCATCTCAAAAACCCATATAAGTACCAGTAATTCCAACAAAGCTAATTTGTAACCATATAGTTAACTCCAAGTATGCCAAAGCACCACCATATTTGTACACTGAGAACACACAAGCAAACAATACAGCACTGGGTGGGATATAGGCCAAATTATTAAGAAAGTACATTTTTTTTTTTTTTGAGACGGAGTCTCGCTCTGTTGCCCAGGCTGGATTGCAGTATCACTATCTCAGCTCACTGCAACCTCTGCCTGCCAGGTTCAAGCAATTCTGCCTCAGCCTCCCAAGTAGCTAGTACTACAGGCACGCACCACCATACCTGGCTAATTTTTTGTATTTTTAGTAGAGACGTGGTTTCATCATGCTGGCCAGGCTGGTCTCAAACTCCTGACCTCATGATCTGCCTGCCTTGGCCTCCCAAAGCAGCTAGGATTACAAGTGTGAGCCGCCACACCCAGCTAAGAATGCACATTTTTAAAACGCAAAACAAGCAAATAGGCTCTCTTTCTCCCCGTCCTGCCTTTTCCTTCTTGCCACTCACTAGCACCCCCAGACTCCAGCCTGTGTCACAAACCTTCACCACTCAGCTCTCCACCCATGACTCTCAACTCCAAATGTCAGATTTCCTCACGACCGTTTTTATTCAATCTTCTCCAGTTTCCAGCAGGAATTTTCCGCTGGCGGTCTTGTTGTCACTTTCACCTCTATGTGCACTGACCTGCTCCAGCACCTACTGCTCTCTGTACACCCCTCCCATCACCCAATATCCACGCTCTTCTTGCATAGGAATCGAACTCTCATTTTTTATTTTGCTGGACATATAAATGCTTACAATAAAAAACTGCGTGTCCAAATTCTGGGAAATGTCTTAAAAAGTACTCCTATATCAATCCCTTCCTTCCTCCTGCTAGATGGAATGAAGGTGGATCTGGGGAGCGCCAGCACTGTGCTGGACTATGTGGATGGATGGGGCCTCCAAGGGTTGGTGGAACAGAAAGCCAGGAGGAGCCCCGAGGACTCTGTGAAACCACCCTAGACAGCCTCTGACTTTTATGTGAGGAAACAAACCATGGATGTTTAAGTCACTTAATTTTGGTTTTCTATGCCTGTGGCTAAACTAATCCAGCTCAACTTCAACTACCACAGCTGTCAATATAAGCATGTTTTTTGATACTTGATTGATATCTCAGAGAATCTCAATATCTTCTTTCTCAACCCTCATTATCACATAGGACCTTGGGATACAAATCATATTTTTGACTCCTAGTACTTGAACCATCTTCCTATGTTGGAAAATCCTTGCTTTAAGAGTCTGCCTCTCACTGCTGAAGCTAAAACAGCCAGACACCCACCTTCTCAGGCTCCCTTGCAGTCAGAGCCCAGGTACATGGCCTGGGCGCTGCCCATCTGAAGCAGGAGTTAGCAACACAAAGAAGAGTGGCACCAAATCCTCGCTAGTGGCAGTGGTGGCAAAGAGCACCATCCAGAGAACAGGGCAGCAGTAAGGCTGCGTCCGCGAGCACCCGTCTCCAGCAGCGCTGGCAACAGGAACTCTGCTGTCGCGCTGGGCACCAAAGGCGGTGGCAGCCTTAAAGGACAGTTCTGTGGAGTAACAGTGACTGCAGCACTGCTGCGTTGGACTGCAGACCTGATTTTTCAGTCACCCAGTAACGATTAGCTCACCAATAGCCCCTCAGTAAACTCCTTTTCTGCCTAAATCAGCCACAGGCAATTTCTGCAGTCTGTAACTCAACCCTCCATGACACAAATGCATCAAGTATTACTAATTCTCTTCTTAACTCACAAACATGTATTTTTTCCACTGTTTCACTGCTGTCCCCTCTGACCTGATTACTATAAAGTGCCAAGCCTCCCTGAATGCAGGCACTTTCCAGCTCATCCTAGATTCTGCTATGAAGGAAACTCCCTTCAAACACCACTTGTAGTGACATCACTCCAGCCTGCCCCACCCCTGGCTTTCCGGTTTCCCTGCACTGTGACTCTGGCCGTATTGCCCACTATTCTGACATGTTCAGTCCTACTGTCCTCAGCCACCAAGGCAGGACAGTGTCAGATCATAAGATGGCCCTTCAGAATGAGAATGGGAGCGTGTGAAAGTGGAAAGGGCAGACAGAGAAAACCTTAAATATGTAAGGAGTATGAGTCACAGTCCTGAAAAAGAGCTGTAAAGATATAAAAAATGTGCCCCCTACAATTGTGATAATGATAGATCTTCTGAACCCCAAATAAGGCAGGTCTACACCATGGGGATACAGGATTGGTTCTTAATGAGCACTTGTCCATTTCTCCCCGTCTCCATATCAACCAAAAATTGACTTTATTGCCCCACAACTAATTTGATTTCAGTATCCAAGACAGGTTTATCTAACACTGTCAGACAAATCAGTTCACGTGGACTAGTGAGATTCACAGTCATCTATACCTAGAACTTAATTTCATATCTAGATGCCAATTCTAGAATGCCCAAATCTGCAGAGTCAGTAAGTAGAATGCTAAATTCATCCCTCCTGTAAAGACAAATAAACGAATTCCAACAATTATTAAGACTGCCAGCTAGATACTTAAACACAATTTTAGAATTTTTTTAAATGTATGTGCCTGTTAGTTCACCTCTAATGGAAATCACCAGTGAGAGTCATTTGTTTTGTAACTCAAAGCCAGAAAGGACATATTCTTATAACTCACACATTGTTGTCCCCTTGGCTCCTGGTGTGGTATGTTCGTCTTCCTGCTGTTTTCCCATTCCTTAACTCCACAGCAGGCAGTTCTTTGAAATAACAGCAAAACTGCTCAATGTTACTACATTAAAAGGAAGGGGAAAAATATTTTAAAAAGAAAAGAAGAGGACTATAAAGTAAGTTTATGAAGCCTACATATACATTTTGAAACTGCAATTTTTCAGTTGTCTCATTTAAATTGTACTCGATGCAATCTCTTGCATCGATTTTCTTCATAATTCTTCCTTCACTCTAAGAAAACTGTATAGACAGATGACTTTGTAAAAAACAAAAACAATGAACCGAAAACAGGCCAGGCGCAGTGGCTCACGCCTGTAATCCCAGCACTTTGGGAGGCCGAGGCAGGAGGATCATGAGGTCAGGAGTTCGAGACCAGCCTGACCAACATGGTGAAACCCTGTCTCTGCTAAAAATACAAAAAATCACCCTGGCGTGGTGGCCCACGCCTTTAATTCCAGCTACTTGGGAGGCTGAGGCAGGAAAATTGCTTGAACCTGGGAGGCGGAGGGTGCAGTGAGACAAGATTGTGCCACTGCACTCCAGCCTGGACAACAGAGCAAGAAAAAAAAAAAGAAAGAAAGAAAAGAAAAGAAAATCTCTTTTCAAAAAAATCCCCAAAGGTAGTCCCCATTTCTTTCTTTTCAGTTGCTTGTTTCCAGGTACTCAATAATTACCTCAAATAAAAACAAACCATGAAACCGACCATATTATGTATATACACTACACAGAATCATAAGAAGAATTCAGTGGTAACTATAATTTCCTCCTTGACTAGGAATAGATAAGGTGAGAGGTAGTACCTTCCAGGACAGATTAAACATGTCTTCTACTTCTTAACAGCAATGTAACCTGGGGAAGATCATTTATTCTGGCCTTTCATGTTTCATTAAAATCTAAAAGTATGTAACTTTCAAAATAATTTATTCTACAAAACTCAGGTCAGCCTTATTGACTATTTTTACTACTTGTCTCATATTTTGAAGACATCTCATCTTATGACCTCGATTAATCTGTTTATGGCTAGCGTTCCAGTATGGAACGCTAAGCTTGTGGGAGTTATTTATAGCCTACTGCTCAAGGTCATTGCCAAGGTCTGATTTTCATACAAAAAAATTGCAAACTCCAGCAAAAATGGGTTAAGACTCAACTAATGACTGAAATAAGCTCTCTGAACAAGGTTCTCTGTAACCCAGGGGTCTGCAAACTGTAGCCCACAGGCCAAATCTAGCCCTCCATCAGGCAGCTCTTAAAGCGAGTTTTACATTTTTTAAGTGTTGTCTTATTATTTATTTATTTATGAGACAGAGTCTCCCTTTGTCACCCAGGCTGGAATGCAGTGGCACCATCTTGGCTCACTGCAACCTGTGACTCCTAGGTTCAAGCAATTTTCCTGCCTCAGTCTCCCAAGTAGCTGGGACTAGAGGCGCGCACTACCACGCCCAGCTGATTTTCGTATTTTGAGTATAGACGGGGTTTCACTATGTTGGCCAGGCTGGTCTCAAACTCCTGACCTCAGGTCATCTGCCTGCCTTAGCCTCCCAAAGTGCTGGGATTACAGGCGTGAGCCACCATGCCTGGCCCTAAAGTGTTGTTTTAATAAAGGGAGGGGAGTAGGGGAATATGTGAAAGAGACTGTGGCCTGCAATACTAAAATGTTTACTATCAGGACTCTCACAGGAAAAGTTTGCTGACCTCAGTTCCAGCCTGTTCAAGAAGCAACCGGAAATAACGCAAATAACTATTCACTGCCGGACACTGCTCTAAGTACTTTAGACAAATTACATTATTTAATCTTCCCAACTACCCCATGAGTTAGGAACTACTGTCCCCCAAATTTTCCTGATGAGGAAACAAAGGCACAGGAAATTAAGTTATCTTGCCCCAAGTCATATGACTAGAGTTAGTGGCAGACAAGACAGGAAGCCAGAGCCTTTGCTCTTAACCTTTAATGTCAGACACTGAAGCTCTGACTGTAACATTACCTGAGTGACTGCAGAATGGCATTCATGAAACACGTGTTCCCCAAATTCCGAAGGCCTGTGGCACAAATGGCAGTGGTGCTTCCCTGTAAGTGGTGTAAGAAGAGGCTATCAGTAATGCCCAGGGAAGGCCAAGAGTTTCAAACCTCAAAGCTAAGTTAAAGCCTCTGAAACCCTCGCACCAAGCCAATCTGGAATTGGTCCTTTTCTGTCCAATGAATATTTCAAACAAACTCTCTTTCTCTGTATAAATGTCTGGATATTTTTAGAAGACTGTTTCTGATCCTGGGATTGTTCTAAATGGAAGTATCTTTATGGAAAACTTATAAGGAAATCACCACTAATAAGTATCATGGAGTATACAATGCAAAAAACAGGAAAATCCTTAAAGTAACATTTAAGACTTAATGCCTTTTTGTGATTCTATAAAAACTAAGAGTAATGGAAAAAATATATGCACCTCAAGTATTTTTGTCCCCAAACTTTTAACTCTAAGCCATACATAAATGACCAATACATGTTTTCCTAACGGGATATGAATCTTAAAAAGCTGCCTGAGACCAAGTACACTGTAATCCCATCACTTTGGGAGGCCTAGATGGGCGGATCACCGGAGGTCAGGCGATTGAGACCACCCTGGCCAACATGGCGAAACTCCATCTTTACTAAAAATACAAAAATCAGCCAGGAGCGGTGGTGCACATCTGTAGTCCCAGCTACTTGGGAGGCTGAGGCAGGAGAATCACTTGAACCCAGGAGGCGGAAACTGAAGTGAGCCAAGATTGCACTATTGTCCTCCAGCCTCGGTGACAGCAGGACTGTGTGTCAGAAAAAAAAAAAAAAAAAAAATGCTTGAACTTAAAGACTTAAGTCTTAAAAATGAAGGCTGGGTTTTCTGATGAGTAAAAAATGTGCGCAGGCAGTAAGAGTGAAGTGTTTTCTAGGGTAGAGGAGCACAGCAGTAATGCTGATGGGAAGAAGGTGCTCACAGATGGACTCACTGGGGTCACAGCAACAATCAGCAGTACAAGTGGCAAACACTATGTAAAATACTCCAAATCCAAGACACACATATATAAAAGTCTGTAACAGGTAACATCACATGTTAGAATTGTAACAAAACAGTGGTTAAATCTCAACTAACTCTTATATTTGAATAAATTTTAATTACTTACATTTACTTTTAATAACTTGCTGTTTAGTGTTGAGTTTTCCAAAAGTTTTCTTTTTCTATGCCTGTCAGCTGTGAAAGCTGAGCTATTAAAACACAGATAGTGAAAAATATATTAAGATATGCATGCCACACCATAGGTCAAAAAATAAACTCAAGCTGTCCTCAACACCTAGGGCATGGAGACCTGCCTGGCTGCTTTGTCAAGCCCATGGGGGCCCACACATATTTGAAGTTAACCGAGAAGCTCCACTTCCTTGGAAATCCCCACTGCTCCTCCAGCAGAGGTGGTCTGGACACTGCTCCTGGCAAAGGGGGCCGGGAAGACACAGCCCATGGGACACTCCCCACCACCACTCTCTCGCTGTCTGACCGACTATGAAGCTTCACAGACCAGAAGGCTCATTCCTCAAAACGAAAGGAAATCCCTGGTCTGACACGACTGTTCTGAAATTTAACAGTAAGTCTCCATATGCTATTTCTTTCTTAATTTAGATTAAGATGTCGTGTTTTGCTCATCTGTCTTAATAGATGATGATATGATCTGAGTTTGAGGAATGATAAATAAGTTACAGGAATACAGGCACATATACATTCATTAGATGCAGCTATGCTCCAAAGGACATTCTAAAACAAATCCTTATTAGTGCAGAAATTCTGAATTAAAATCACTCAAAACTTTTCTTGATGGAAGAGATACTGTGCTTACAATTTATCAGAAAGCTACTTCTATTTTCAAAAGGTCACTTAAAATTATTATGTCTCAGGCAAACTAACGTAAAGGAAGTAAAAATTGTTAAACACCACAGACTTATAAGGCCGTCAATTCCTTCCCACTTTCTCAAAGTACAAAGTTCATCCAAAGTAAATACGTAATTATTTTTTCTTACAGAATTTCCACATGAATTATAATGTCTGTGAAACACTAGAACTAGTGACAGGTGCTTTAAGCCTCAAAATGTTCTTCAGAATTGTGTCTCTCCCACAGTACTGGTAACTGCAAGATGAGGAGACCAATTCCATATGCAATGGGGTTCAATTATTCCTTCACAAATTCTGGAAAGTAGGGAAGGTAAACCACAAGCATAGTATATATGCTCCTTATGACAATGCCTAAGAGTTCATTTTCAGTTGAAACCTATATAAATGAGGCATTTCACTTTTAAAAAAATGTAAGTTACTAAATTTTATCCTCTGTGACTCTCAAAATGGCAATATCTTCCAGATCCACACTATCTAATATAGTAGCCACTCATTCATTCCACATGGCTACTTAAATTAACTGAAGTTTAAAATTCAGCTTCTCAGTTGCACTAGCCACTTTTCAAATATGGCTATTGTTACTGTATTCGCGTGGATACAGAACACTTCTGTCAATACTGCAGAAAGTTCTGCTGGACAGTGCTGCTCTGCAGGGTATGTGGAATAATCGAAAGTTAAGTAAAACACAGATGATTGTAGTTTCTAAATTTCACTACAGATTAAACCAATGTTTGCAAAACAGAAAAATGAATCTAGGTAATTTTTTTCAACATAATAAAGGGACTGTAATGTAGACTTTTCACTGGGACCAAGAAGATGTATAGACAGGTGGTCTGTGACACCTTTCATCCGATGAAGTGGTCACTGGAAATAAAAGATTTCCTAACTGTATAAATGCATGCCGGTTCTCAAATGCCCTCTTTTCCCTTTGACTTAGTTCTGGTTATTTATTTCAGACTGAGAGGGTAGTCTTTTCTTAGAGAAAACCATAAGTGGCAGAAAAAAGTATTCTGGTAGCCACCCACTTCTATAACGAATAATCAAGTTACTAAGACCTTTACAATGACATCACCACACCAAAGAGGGATACTACATACATTCCTTCAAGAATCTGAGACTTCATGGTTTATTGTGAACAATTTCAGAGAAAATTAAATATTCTGGATCTGTGTGTCTGTATCTGTCTCTCATCCTAGATAGGGCTCATCAAATTAGAAGAGAAAAGTGCTCTGAAAAAGAGCCAAAAGATGACAACCCAGAAGTCCTTAAACCCAAAGGACTTTAATTGGTTTAGATTTAAAGAAATCATTATTCTTCCTATATCTGCTTTATAATCTAGTAAGCCAATGAGACATACATAATGACTGTGGTTTTAACAAACACTGCACAGTATTGCCCTCAAAGTAGTTAGGTTATTTGGTTTCAGTATACAATTTTAAAACACTCTATGGGCTTTACACTTAAGTTTGCTAAGGGACTCCTGCTTTGTGCATGTTTTCACAATACCTTCTACACACCAACTGCCAAAATAAATTAGATGGCACTTAATGATTTGGTGTGATTTACACAGATTTCACTTGAGTCAGCAGCCATTCCACAGCCATGCTTCCATCCACTGTAGCTTCAAAGGCATGGCTTGCTGGGTTTCTGTTTATTGCTTCAATATCAGGTCCAGTGAGTTTTATCTGACTAAGCTATTTGACTATACTAAGAAAAGTCTGTTCACATATAAACAGTTTCATTTCTTATGATGACAAAGTATTTATAGCTCCTGTAATATCGAGTGATACTTAACTGCCCCTAACAAGCAAGGATAAGAAACTAGGATCCTATGCTATTGTATAGATGCAAAGTGGACAATGTTAATTAAACCTAATTTTCCTTAAAAATGGTGCATAAATCATAGTGCTTCCTAAAACCTCATAATACATTTGACAGGGGTTTTTCTATTACCAAAAGTAACTCTATAATGATTTCACACCTTTTTCTGCTCTTTCCTTGTACCCTCAAAATTCCCCTTGCAAATAAATAAGCTTATAAATTGTTGGTAATAATTTTAAAACAGACTCTTGGGACCTTGGATATGGTTTATGACAAATGTTAAATAAAATAAAAGCAGAGCTATGATCATTAACTATGGGCCAAGTTTTAGATATCCAAAGCCAAGGTTTATTTTATCAACATTGCAATCATATTAAAAACATGAAGTTATAAATCTCATTGACAAAAACCCCACTCAAAAATTCCAAAAGACCCTTCTACCCCATTCTATTCCCTTCTTTTTCCAAAGGCCTATTACTTACTTTTCCAAGTTTTGTAAGTGTTCTCTGACTTTCTGTACCAGTCCCAGCTTGGTGTCATTAACCACAAAATCATCACAGCGATAACTGCAAGGAAAATATTAATCAATGTGTGTAAAGAGCTTGAGGAAACCACAGTAATGAAATCACTAAAAGGCCTGGCTGCTGCCAAGATGATCACATGGCTCTGCAGGCAGTTACTGCTGGTGGTAAGTTTAAAGAGGACCTGGAATTCACAATGAAATGTTTTTAAGAGTCTTTTTCAAAAGCCATGGAGGCAGTGAACACGAGCTTCTTTTCACTTTTTTTACTCAAAAGCTCTTCAATTCCTCCTTTGAAAATGAAATAAGTGGCTACATGTGTTACATTCTTTTTAGTGGTGCATAATACATGGAAAATGAAATAAAAAGCACTGAGTCTTTTCATGTAGCATTAAGTCCAAAGCTTTAAGGTAACACTTCTCAGCCCAAATTAATGGGGAACTGGGGGGAGGAGAGATTTAAGTGAAAAGCAGGGAAAAACGTAATTAACCTGTAGGGATATCTGAATAGAAAAACTAAAGTTAAAGCTGTATATTTTAAACATAATTTAATTAAAATAAATTGAATTCAGATGAGTTGGAAGAATAATCTTTCATTCTGAGGCACTACAAACGAAAGTATAAAATAGTGGCTATATCATTCAGGCAACTGCTAAGTGCTTTGAAGAAAAATATTTAAGGTATTTTAAAAAATGGATACAAGAGTAAGAAATCGCACAAAATATAAACTTTAACTTGTATACATTAACATTTAATTTTTTCCTGGGATAAGGCCAATTTTAACAAAAACAACTTACAAACTGGCACTAAGATATTCTTTTGAATATGCAGCTTCGCATGAAACCACTTGTTATTACTATCAAAGAATAATAAAAATAACACTGTCATTCTGAGCAAACAAAACTTTGAAAGCACAGCAATTAGTAAAAACTAGGTCATTTCTAGCAGAATCCCAAAAACATCTTAGATCTGAAAACCATTTTATTAAAGAGAGAGAGAAAGAGAGAAAAAGGGGTGGGAAAAGGTAATTTTTAAAAGATTACACAAAAAAGAATGCTTGTGTCTTTTATTCAGAGAAATGAAAATTTTAAGTGAATGCTTTTGAAAACTATGTATGTAATTATTTAACACACACGCTCATTAACTGACCACCCAGGCAGTCAATCAAGATTTCTCTAACATATTCTCAGAGTCTCTCAAGTCAGTGCCTAGCATTTCCACAAATACCAAAAGCGTCTTTTATATCCTGGACCATTTTCTATTATCAAAGTACTACCAGCAGGAGAAAACATTTTTTCATTAGTCTTATAACAATCCATAAAGTAACTAAATTAGTGAAAACTTATAATTTTTTGCTCCTTCTCAGCATAAATATTAAGAGAATATGATTTATTTTGTCTGTAAATTTGGGCTTAAGGCATTTGGTACCTCTATAAACCTTAAGCTTTCACTGAAGAATGAAATTGTATTGTTACTCTACTTGAATTCCTGCTTACATTTTCATTTTACGTTTGTATAAATTTATGCATGTAGTTTGAATAAAATAATACTCAGTGTCCAAAACTCAAAATGCTAGCATTTATCTGGAAAGTAAAGTCTAAGAGCAAACTCAGATCAATTTTTATGTATTTACAGGATGCCATTAATATTTGATTGAAAAGTGAACCTCTAACTGCCACAAATAAGTGGTTTAACAAATTATTTCAAAGTAAATTAAATAATTGATTTATTTCTTATTAAAGTAATCCTTTTTGATATGACATGAAGTCAGCCTGGGACATAAAATTACATTTGTTAAAGTAATATTTTCATATTTGAAACAGACTCATTTATGGCCTTGCTCTGTTCTTCCACATCAATTGGGTCTAGGTGCTTTTCCTCTCTACCCTTTCATCACTGAGGTAAGTTGATCTAGACTCTAGAGCTGTGCAAATGTGGCTACTTGCAACTGAGGAATACAATTTTAATTTTTTAAACTTTTAATATAAATTTTTACTTAATAACTGAAGCAGTGTAAACTCTTTTACCATTAAACACAATGTTATAGTTTGGTAGAATTGTGTTTTGCTTTTATTATTAAATTGTACAAGATATATGGCAGTGCACAGTTGGGTAAATGTGTCATTTCTAGCATTACACAAAAGCATATCACCAATCTAGTTTGTACCAACAGAATGAGTCACTTCAAATGATTTTTCTATGCAGCATGTAGCACTGTAATGGGTTTATTTGAACATTTTATGCAGACAGCATGAGTTACAGTGACACCTAAATAAATCATAATTGGCAATTAAGTTAAAATACTTAATTTTTTATAATTAAATTATTTTTCTAGCTTAAAAATTAAAAATAGAAAAATTTTTACTTTCAAATGAAGGCATACTGAGATCAAATGAAAAAGACTCAACAAGGCACGCCACAAATTTTACAAATAACGGCAACTGCAATTTGCTGGAGCAGAGCAAAATTAAAAAGCTGTTGTGTAAAAAAAAGAGTTTTGGCCAGATGGAGTGGCTTATGCCTGTAATCCCAGCACTTTGGGAGGCCAAGGTGGGTGGATCACCAGCCTGGCCAAGATGGTGAAACCCCATCTCTACTAAAAATACAAAAATTAGCTGAGAGTGGTGGCAGGAGCTTGTAATCCCAGCTACTCAGGAGGCTGAGGCAGGAGAATAGCTCGAACCCCGGAGAAGGAGGTTGCAGTCGAGATCGCACCACTGCACTCTAGCCTGGGAAACAAAGCAAAACTCTGTCCCAAGGAAGAAAAAAAGAGTTTTAAGATAATAGACAACAGTAAGAGCCATTTTCAGCAAATGCATTTCAATTTAATAGAAAGTGGCTCCGGTCAAAAAATAATTGATAAAATTAGTCACAATCGGTGAAATCAGAATTAAATGTAAAACAAAAGAATTCCTAAAGATTTTTTACAGAACTTGAGGTTGTAAATGGCCAGCTGTAAGACAGCTTGGAGCCTTTTTTCTTTTTTCTTTTAGACGGAATCTCACTCTGTCACCAGCTGGAGTGCAGTGGTGCATGCTCGGCTCATTGCAGCCTCCGACTCACTGGTTAAGTGATTCTCCTGCCTCAGCCTCCCGAGTAGCTGAGATTACAGGCACGTGCCACCACGCTCAGCTAATTTTTTTCTTTTTAGTAGAGACAGGGTTTCACTATGTTGGTCAGGATGGCCTCAATCTCCTAACCTTGTGATCTGCCCACCTCGGCCCCACAAAGTGCTGGGATTACAGGCGTGAGCCACCGTACCCAGCCTTTTTCTTTGAAATTTTTAAAAAAATACAGCCAGGTATCCTGTTGCCCAGGCTGGTCTCAAACTCCTGGCCTCAGGTGATCCTCCTACCTCGGCCTCCCAAAGTGCTGGTATTACAGATGTGAGCCACTGCACCTGACCAGTTCAGATTCTTGTTCAATGTAGAAAACAATTTTAAGATGGAGAGATGAAAAATTAAACTATTTCAGTTAAGGAAATTATATTTTTAATTATGTGGAAAAGAGTTAAAAAGATATATTACAGAAAGTGAAAAATCTTTGAGACACCAAGCAACTGTCAGTGAATAAAAGGCTTTCTAACAATATTAAAGATCAATTAAGTCAGCATTTGAAAAGTTACAAGTATTTTTAGCTTTAGATGAATTTTAGAAGAGATAATGCCCAATAAATACTATGGGTATATCTGTCTCAAATGACCTTCAAATTTACAGAGAAATGTCTTCATCGATTTGTAACCTTAAATTTAAAATCTTATGTGGTAGATATTTTTGAATTCTCAACATTCGCAACTTTCAGCTACACATAAAAGTCAGTTTCTAGCAAGACAATGTTCAAACATCTGTATTTGTTGGATTTATTTCTCTTACTACTTTGTTCTGCTGTGTGAAACACACTGCAAATATCTGTGCCCTGCGGCAGAGTGTATCATGGAGGCAGCTATTAAAATTGTTCAGGCTGGTGTGGTGGTTCACGCCTGTAATCCCAGCACTTTGGGGGGCCGAGGTGGGTGGATCATGAGATCAAGAGATTGAGACCATTCTGGCCAAATGGTGAAACCCCATCTCTACTAAAAATACAAAAATTAGCTGAGCATGGTGGTGCATGCCTGTAGTCCCAGCTACTCGGGAAGCTGAGGAAGGAGAATCACTTGAACCTGGGAGGCAGAGGTTGCAGAGATTATGCCACTGCACCCCCGCCTGGCAACAGAGCAAGACTCCGTTTAAAAAAGAAAAAAAAGGTTTAGTACATATACACATATGCTCTAAATCATCACCAGTTTATAGAACTGTTAAACAGCAGACAATGAATTTAATAAACACATTATTAGCTAATGTTGGTTGCTTGAATCAAACAAGAGGTTTGCAAAGATTTACAATTCTGTTAACTCTAATTCAGATTTTCTTGAAACAAAATAAATGCTTGCCAATGTTCAACAATGAAAGGGTAAAACAGGAGAAGATTTTTAGAAATCTCAGTGTGATTTACATTTTCACCCCTATATCACAATGCATATGAATTAGCTACATCTAAAGATCCAAGGAGAGAAAAAGCTTATTTATGACCTAGCTAGACAGGTACAATAATTCATGTTAAAACTAAGCTTTTTATAATACAAATTAATGATTGTGCATTTTTCAACATGAATTAACAGGCAGCAGACAGCACTGTATAAACTGGCTGCAAAACCTATGAAAAAATACAACAAATGCTTTGTTGATATGGATGAACTTAGAGTTGATTTTCAGTTTATATGATGCCCCTTTGAATTTCACGTTGATAACAGTAATTTTCATAAGCGTTAGTGGGCTTACTTATTCTGCATGGGTATTTTGACGGTGCTGCACTTCTGAGTCAAATCAATTGTTCTTAAGAGATGCGTAATTTTTGTCAATACAGATACAAATATTGAAGAACAATGATTTGTTTGGTACTCTATTGTTAAACAATGTTTGAAACAGTGTGAATCTACTTTTGTAACTGCAATTTTTATGAATCTAAATAGCAAATATTTTTAATGAAAATTTCATGAGTTGAGATGTAT